AATGATGACGGTTTTCATTTTTGGGTGAACTACCCCTTCAAGTCAATATGAAATACTGTTCTGTACACTATTTTATTTCTGTAATGTGATGCATTACAAAGGGAAATAGGACTTAATTTTATCCTGAGGCATCATGCACTTATTTTCTTTTTTTCTTTTTTAGGGGTCAGCACTGGCTCTCCTATAGTTCACCTGGTGCTGTAGGCAAGATAAGACGTGATCAGAGGAAAAAATGCTTTGATAACTTGGTTGTTCTCCGTATTAGTCTATGACGGGATTGTGTAATGGTATTAGACAGCAAATTTAAACATGCAAATGTGTGATTCACATGTGTAAATTACAATCAATGCGCAACAATCATAAAGATGATTTTTTTTGGAAGCTGCATTTAACATTCTTAGAGGTAAGCATTTTTCTGAATTTATCCATTGGGAATTGATTGAATCATGAAAAGTAGTCTCAAATGTACAGAGCCCCTACAGGGACATATTGACGTAAAAAGTATGAGATGGGAGGATTATATTAAATTATATTTCACTGCATTTGCATTCTCTCCCAAATGCCTTGCATTCCCGAGGCACTTTATGTATGCTAGCAAATAACTTTTTTGTGAAGTTTCTCTGTGGAACACAACGTCTTTGGGAGACAACACAGAAGCACTGACATTTTTTTTTCTCCCATCTCATTTTTCCATAGGTAGTCGAAACAAAGGAAAAAGAAGCGCGGGTGACATCGGCTAAAAACAAAAGTTGCTTTAGAGGAGAAGCAAGTAATTATATCTTGACAACATTATGAAGACAAACCATTTTTAGGGGCTTCATTCTTCAGTCGCGCCCTAATGGTTAGAGTCAGACTTGTAACCCAAAGGTTGCAGGTTCAAGTCTCGTTACCGGCAGGGATTGTAGGAGTGAATGAACAACGCTCTCTTCCACCTTCAATACCACAACTGAGGTGAGATGCCCAACTGCTCGCCGGGCGCCACAGCAAAAAATGGCTGTCCACTGCTCTGGGTGTGGGTGGGTGGGTGTGTGTGTGTGTGTGTGTGTGTGTGTGCGCGCGCGCGCACTTGGATGGGTTAAATGCAGAGCACAAATTCCGAGTATGGGACACGGACACCATACCTAGCTACATGTCACATCAATCACTCACTAATATGCATGATCATGCTGATCATTATTATAATTATTATTCTTTGCAACAATAATGCATGCACAATATAACACATGAAATCAAAAATTTGAGTTTCTTTTCTAATTACATGTTGACTTGTGCATTCAGTGTATTAAATCTTTGATTTAAAAAATGTTATAACATAAACTAAATTCTCTTAATGTGGAATTGTGTTGTCCAATGATTGGCCGAAACATATTACTGTCAGGCCATCATTGGCCTTTGCCCTATCCTGCTCATCAAATTACTGTTCCACCTCTGTCCCAAACTCAACTAAATGATTTATTGATCCAGGGCAACCTCCATATAACCTGTAAATTACCTCAACACTGTGTCATTATCTACCAATGATGAGTAGGGCCTAAAAAACCAAGAAGATGCCTCTCGGAGGAGACTTCATTCAATGCTGGACCAAAGTCTGATTCAAACTTTGATCAGGCTTAACCTGCTTTGCAATAATTACTATTCCTGTGAGGGGCTTGAGGAGGTTGGAGGTTCAATGAATCCATGGACCCATGACCGCCCTGCCTGAAAGCCTCGTTTGAACTTAGCGAAGAAATGCAGCCCAATCTGCCAGTAAGGAAAATGAGGTGGAGACGGAGCAAACCGGTACTCGAGACTGTAAACCCTGTGGACAGTGGTTTTCTGGCATAAAATCATCTCTCACTAACTAGATCTAAACTATTTGTACATGCAATTTCAAAAGGACTATTTGGATTTTAAGATTGGGTATTAACATTTAAGTTGCTATTCGAGCTTCCCTTATTTCCGTCATTCTTTAGTCGTTCGGAAATCTTACAGCCTGCACCTACCTTACAACAAAAGTCAACAAAGTTGTTCCATAAAATCATTCATTAACTTTTTCATTTACTGCCCACAAATTAGTAATACAATGGAAATCCATACTGAAATACACAGAGGGCTGAGGCTGGCCGAACCAACTGCATAATGCCAAATAAACTAAACTAATAACCACTGGAAAGACGAGCCAAAATTGCATCGCATATTAGTGCCAAAATCCATGTGCTGCTCAAGTCCAGTAACGCTATAAAATGGGAAAATAGTGAACTGAATAGTGAGTGGGTGGCATCATTCGACCACTGAAGACAGTCTATCGCTAATGTAGGGCAGTACAATTCGTGGGAAGGGGACGTCGTGGCCTAATGGTTAGAGAGTCGGACTCGTAACCCAAAGGTTGCGGATTCGAGTCTCGTACCGGCAGGGATTGTAGGTGGGGGGAGTGAATGTACAGCGCTCTCTCTGGGATAAATGCAGAGCACTAATTCCGAGTATGGGTCACTTGGGTCAACTTAGCCACATGTCACTTCACTCACTCACTCACTCACTCAATTAATGCAGAGGAGAAAGTATACAATTAATAACTCATAACTCTTGAGAGAGGTCAAAAGTTTAATGGAACCACTTTACTTCAATATCAGGCTAATTATATTCAGTGAGAGAAAAATACTGAAATAAAGTACAGGATTTTCTTGTGCCATGCCAACACACTTCACATGCTTCAAGTGGAGGACTAGAAAAGCAGGTGAAGACTGCCCTCCTGTGACACTCTGGAGAACGATACTATTTTCAGGGCAGCTGGTCAAACTCAGCATTTGCTTTACCAGGACATGTGAAATGCAAAGCAAAATGCAGTTTTATGCACAAAACGAATAAATACTCTTCATTCACTACTATTTGTTTTGAAATAAAAACAGAAATGTATTAGTCCGAGACATTTAGCATATTTTTAGACATTTTTAAAAGCCACACACAGATGATGGTGAAGGAACACACACACACACACAAAGTCTATGAGATGTACAAACAAGCCTTTTTGCTTCTGGGAATTTATGTTCACACAATATCAGTCTTTATGGGGAAAAAATTAAAATAAAAATGGAACATAAGCAGTCTACAGTCTGTCTGGTTCAACCAATGGCCCACACTGTCAGGGGCCTATTAACAAGATCTCCTCAGAAATCCATAAAATCTCCTCTAAAATCCATAAGCACATAGTCCCAGTGAAGAAAATCATCCCAAACACCTCTTCTCAAGTAAGTTATTAAAATACCAGGAAGCAACACACTAAACGGTTATTTGAGGTGCTCAAGTACTGAAAAGGCAGCTGCCATGTGTCTACGTACTCTGTAGCTACTTTTAGAGCAGATACATTGCTTGACAGATTCATTGTTTCACCAGAGTGGATGAGTGCGCTTTCACAGTTGTGTGGGAAGAGCTAAAAATAAGCTTGAAGGTCGTAGATTAGAGAAAGCTTGCAGTGCGAGTCGATTGTCAGCGTGCTGGAAGAGCGTTAAACAAACACAACAAACACAAAGGTGACCCTTGCACAGCAAAAATATAATCTGATAAAGATTAACTGACTAAGCATTAAGTGTTGTGCCCTTATTGCAAAACACAAAAATTAGGCAGCTCAGCACAATATTCAAAACAAGATGAGCAGCACACATCAACTTAATATGAAAAGAAAAAGAACTGTATTTTATGTGGCAGGAAATGTTTTTGTGAATATGGCAGTAATGCAGTAATGCTTGAACAAGGCCTGTTGGTGATGTATTTGGCACTACATAATGACAGTTTAGCAAGTAGAGTAAAAAAGACTGCTGGTCATTAATGCAACATTACTCATACAAACTTCTAATGTGATTATTTCAAGTATTGGTGCTTACAAGACAAGAGTAGGGCAGATTATGCTCAAATGTGCTGCATGCACAGCCTAAGTTTACTGTAGTACATAGGGCAGTGGTTCTCAACCCGCGGCCCGCTGGCCGCATGCGGCCCGTCACGAATTCAAATGCGGCCCACCGTGCTGAACACAATTTAAAAAAATACTTTCAGTTACAATTCATTTTAGTTTTTACATTCATTTAAAAAACTTCTAAATAAATATAAGCTATAGCCTAATGTTTTTATGTAAAATAATTTTGTTTTTCATATATTATTTTCAGACATGAGCAGTACTCACATAGCCTAATTAACGTTACGCATTTAAAGTAACGCCCCAGTGGCCAGCGGCAGACAGTGAGCATATGCTTGATCAATTTAGCCTTCTCAAATCATCACGACTTGCCTAAAATAACATCTATAGATATAAAACAGTTCAAGCATATAACAATGTTTAGACGTTAAACCTAGATAAATGTGCGCTGTGTCCAATAGTTTGTGCAGAGTGGAAGCTGAAGCGCGCTTTGCAGGACATAGAGACGCCAGCGCGATCACTTGCAGCCCGGTGGAAAAAAAGGTTGAGAACCACTGACATAGGGGATGCAACATTGTTATTGCTTGCAGTTAAAAAGCCATACATTAATGTTTTAAATGCATTCGCAAAATTATACATTTCAGAGAAATCAAGTTGATTTGCTATTTGGAGAACATCTGAAAATAATAACATACGCCTTGTAACTTATGTACAGTACTGGTAAAATTTCCCTTTTTAAAAATGCAGATGAGAGAACATCAAGGATACATTGTGCAAAATTACCTGTCAAAGCCCATTAATACATCCTTAAAGTTAGTTAATTTTGCAAGAAGCATATGTAAAAGCTTAACTGTGTCAAAGTTTTGGGCTGGTATCTCAAAGACATTCACTGTTTAAATGCAAGGCACGGATTAAGACATTAGCTTCAGATATCGAATGCATGTTCAACTGTTGTAATGGCACAAAACAGCACAGCCAAGCTGATGAAGAATGTCAAAATATGCAACCGGAAGCTTATTTCTTAAAGGGGTCATATGATGCTTTTTTAAAGATCATTATTTTGTGTATTTGGTGAAAGGGAAACTTGAAATCGCATCATATGACCCCTTTAAATAGTCCTGTTTTTGTTAAATTTAAACCCTGGATGAATAACTAAATTCCCTGAAGAAAAAAAATTAATTACTATCTTCACAAACCCTTTTAATGGAAGACATGCTCAAAACTCCAGATGCTTGCCATAAGTCTCACTGAACCCATTCGAAGTAAGCAATTTCATCAAGATCAACTGGATAATCTGTTAGATGTATTGGCTCTTTGTTGTCAAATCGTTCTCCTTTGTAACTTTTCCAGCGTCCAGCTGGTAGATAGATATCCCTTTCTTGCTTGCCCGGCTCCAGTACTGGTGCCACCATCAAGTCATCTCCTATCAAAAACTGTGAGTCAACTCTATAAGCCGTTTCATCACTGGTGGCGATCCACCATAATGGGCGAATTATGGGGTCCCCAGTGTCCAGTACTTCTCCAGCCAGTTCTATGACCCTGGGAGCCACTAGTGTCTCATGTAGTTCGGTGAACCGCTGAGCGATAGCCACCACCTCGTCATCGTACTCCCATGGAGGAATGGAGAACTGCATGGAAGGCATGAAAGCAGACAGCTCCAGCCACCGAATATAGAGCTCACGGTCTGGCAGCTTGCCGTTTCCATCAGTACGGTTGGGATAGGCATTGCCTCCAATCATGTCTGGCAAGATGAACTGGTAGCCCAGGATACTAATGGTGAGGACGGTTGGAATCAGGGACTTCAGGCCAAGTTCATAGCCCCACACAGAGTCCCGGTCGATTGGACGGAAAAAACAGGAGATATTCTGAGAGCTGTAGCCAGACCGAAGTTCAGCACGTTCGTTGAAAGGAATGGCCATTTCGGTGTAGCGACGAGTGAAGGTGCTTGGGTCGGGGAGGTGAACTCGAGTTCTAAACTGCCAGGGCAAGTAGTTGGTCTCACCTGCATCAAACTTGAAGGAAGAAACACCATATTTGTGGCGTAAAGAGCGAAGCTGGGACATGAACCAGTTGCGAGCTTCTGAATTGGTAAAATCGAGGATTCCACCAATGCCATTCCACCACTTAACCAAGGCAGGAAGTTGACCTGTAGGCTCCATCACGAACAGCCCTTTCTGTACACATGGCCCAAAATTGGTAGAATCATAATTCACAAAGGGATGTGTCCACAGGGATACCAGGAAGCCATCTGCCTTGAGCTTTTGAAACATGGCAGAAGCATTTGGGAACTTCTGTGTGTCAAACTCAAATTCCCCGTACTGACTGGTGTAACGATCATCAAGTTCTAAGTGGCTACAGTTAAAACCATGTTTGCGTATATTCTCTGCATAAGTTAAAAGCTTTTCCTGATTGATGTCAGTTTTATGTAAAGCCCAGGTGGACCATATTGGGTGCCAGAACATTTCTTTGGCAGGCACTTTGTTGGGTTTAGGGAAGTATCGACGAACCATGACCTTGTGGATAGAGGTCACATCTGGGCCCACACAGACTCTGTAACTAAGCTCAGCATAGGGAGGCCTTCCAGGTGCAGGTTTGTATGGACTGTCCTGATATCGTGCCTGGAAGTACATGGTTTTCTCTGTATCATTCCAGCCCAGGTGGAAGGGCACAGAGTCATTGATCTTAATGGCAGTCGCGTTGGACGAAAGCCAGTAGCGCTCCAGGATGCCACCGAAGTCATGGCGATTGGAGTACACGTCACTGGTGACAAAAGGTTTGGGTGCCTGCTGGCCCAAAATGGCAATAGGCCAATGCTGAACAGCAGTCTCAGCACCACCATACCAGTGCGATTCATTGTAGGACATGGCGTGCTCCACAGGTCGGTCTGACTCCAACTCTTCCCAACGCACACGGTAACACATCACCGTTTCCTTTGGCTTTACGGTCATAATGAAGAAGTTCACCTTGCCAGCAAACGAACGTGAGCAGCGAAGGATCACTCCCTCCTTCGAGCAGGAGTCTAGATCAAGCGTGCCAGATCTGAAATCAGCAAGCATATATTAGCTTCTTTCTTTCATGTGATCAAAAATACACTAATAATGCAATTCATACAACGACCCCAAAACAATGGTATTTATTCATTATTCAGGATATTTGAAAAATTACTTTGAAAATGTGTTTAAAACCTGTTTTTTTTTTTTTTAATGGTATAAAAGTTCAATTAATTTCAAATTGGCATGTGTTTTAAAGTACTTTTTTTTTAAGATTTTACCTTTTCTTTTTCATGGACCTATATTACTGTTGTCTGCAGTGCTCTCAGAACATTTTGGGATCAGAAGAACATATGCACCATGCATACTGACCTGAAGCCCATCTTCAAGACAATCCCTCCAGCCTGGTTACGGATGAGAAAGCCATCCTTATTCAAATCAAGCAATTCTGTCTTCAGCAGGTCAGCTTTACGTAGGGAGGCAATATAATAGCACCATGCAGTCACTGCTGCAATCACCAGAATCACACCAATAACTCCAGCCCCCACCAGAGGGCGACTGTCCTTGTCTATCTTCTTGATGGGCATGCCATCAGTAATTGTTCCTCCTGCGCCTCCTGGGACTACTTGGTACATTCTGAGTCTTAGTTTTTGAATTCACAGTTGAAAAGCTGATAAAACTGCAGGCTAAAATTTTATACAGACTATAGAAGACATTTGGCAGACAGAGAACAAAAGTGAATAACTTGCAAAATTTGTGCAAAATTGAGTGTTGCATCCATTTTTCCTTCTCTCAATGTAACATTTTCCTCTTGTTCATTATGAGCCTGAGGGAAAAGGAGTGGCAAAACATGTCAATGTAAAAGGTTGCAACAAAGTCCAAATAAAAATCTACTTGTCATGCAGATGTAGGAATTGCAGTACAAATTCCAGCATTAAGTATTAAAAAAAAAAACTTTAGCTTTGATATCGGCCTGAATTGGTCTGCTGGGAGGTAAAGGCATAAACAAAAGCAGTTTATTCATGCTGCCAAGGTTTCTCACTGAGGCAGTGTGTGAATTGACTGCACCAGAGGACAACACAAGGGCCTCTGGGTCTGCAGTATTCAACGCCACCTGCAAAACTTTGAGACTGGCTAAGTGCCACCAGACACACTTGGTTGAAATGAAAAGCACTGTTAATGGACAATGTTTTCTACTGAAGAAAGACCTAGAGCTGAACTGCCAGTGCAGAGTCTCCCTCTTTATGTTTTTGAGGGAAATGTACAGCACACTAATAAGATGTAACAGTGACTGCCCACCTTTTCAGTGGCCTTGGGATCCGTCTCATTTGTCAAGTCACTTTAAAAAAAAATAAAAACAATAAAGAGATTTGAATCAAAACAACCAAATAAACGTTTTGAATCAGAACATTACATTTAAGAAGTAAAAAAAGGTTGTACTTGTAATTAGGGGTGTGCGTTATATATTGTCTACGATAAAATCATAACTGTGGTTTAAACGATATGCGATTTGACATTATCAAGTATATTGTAGGAATTGCAGTACAAATTCCAGCATTAAGTATTCAAAAAAAAAACTTTAGCTTTGATATCAGCCTGAATTGGTCTGCTGGGAGGTAAAGGCATAAACAAAAGCAGTTTATTCATGCTGCCAAGGTTTCTCACTGAGGCAGTGTGTGAATTGACTGCACCAGAGGACAACACAAGGGCCTCTGGGTCTGCAGTATTCAACGCCACCTGCAAAACTTTGAGACTGGCTAAGTGCCACCAGACACACTTGGTTGAAATGAAAAGCACTGTTAATGGACAATGTTTTCTACTGAAGAAAGACCTAGAGCTGAACTGCCAGTGCAGAGTCTCCCTCTTTATGTTTTTGAGGGAAATGTACAGCACACTAATAAGATGTAACAGTGACTGCCCACCTTTTCAGTGGCCTTGGGATCCGTCTCATTTGTCAAGTCACTTTAAAAAAAAATAAAAACAATAAAGAGATTTGAATCAAAACAACCAAATAAACGTTTTGAATCAGAACATTACATTTAAGAAGTAAAAAAAGGTTGTACTTGTAATTAGGGGTGTGCGTTATATATTGTCTACGATAAAATCATAACTGTGGTTTAAACGATATGCGATTTGACATTATCAAGTATATCACAAAAACCAAACAAAAACACACCCAGAGAGTGTACGCATACACTATGAGATGTAGATTAGACTACTGTGTGTGACCATTTAGAGTTCACGCTTTCACTGTATGATTTAGTCTATTAAAATACATTTAGAATTCCACCAGAATTCAAAATACAGGGGCAAAAATGCCCCCGTATGACTTTTATATGTGTTATTTTATATGCGTTACTTTTATATGACATTTATAATACACAATAGTGTTTCGTTACTGAATCAATCAGCCGTTTGAACAAATCGTTTGAAGGAATGACTCAATGACTCACTCATGCAGTGATGTGCGGCCACCTACTGCTGACTTTAGGTTTATATTTAAAGTAGGCTATATTTCCCCAAATCATTTCAAATATCAGTATTCAATGTTTTGGGGTTTTTTTTTTACAAAACAACAACATCAAAACATGAATTATGCATTTGTAACTGCAGGTTAACTGCATTCATGTCCTGCATTAAACAGTCTGTGTTAATGCATCTAAATGCCACTTCAGATGCAGATTCTGTGCCACCTCTGCATTGCAAACACACATTTTGTTGATACTGATTTCATTTGATTAATAACAGCCCTACAGTATCTAAATATTTGCATATTGATTAAATTTTAGAATTTGACACAAAAGATGATGCATACATTTAATTAGGTTAGAAAAAAATTAGCCTTATAAAGGTAAAAATGCCCATAAAAGGTAAAAATCAATTTAAACTTAGAAGTTAATTTCTGTTACTCCTGCAGACTAACCATCTCACAGAATATCAAAAGCTTTGGGAGTCAGCTGTCCACAGCAGTCCTAAACCTGCCAAGATACCAGCACAATAACAAGAAAACGTTTCTGATGGGATGCAGCAATCATGTATTATCTCACAGCTCTCAAGTAACCAAAATTTTGCTGATTCGGATCATGTGACTATGAAAAAAAAACTGGTTATTCAGTCTTTGCTACCTTATTTTATTCCAGATAGAAGCTCAAAAAGGGCAATGACAGTACTGTACATACATGGACATGTAAATAGGTCAGAGTTGTATCACCACGTTGTATGATGAGTAAACTTTTACTAAAATAGCCAAGCACTGGACACACGATTAATATTGGCTGACCTCTTAAAAAGGCTTGCATGCTTCTTATTTTAATAACTCAGAACAGATGAGACCTAACACACAGATAGGTTATCACATGGGTCAAAGTGTAACACAAGTACTGAGATATGTAGTAGTCACTACAATAAAATTAGAATAGATCTAAAACTCCTTAAATGGTCACATTATCATGGGACAACGACAAAGGAAATCTCTTTACAACATGAAATGAAATAACAAGACAGCCAGTGGTCGATGTATCAGGCAAGGGGGAGTCTACTGTAAAACACGCAGGGTATTACCGCGGCTGACAGGAGGAATTCGTTGTTTAAATTCCTAAACATTTGCAGTTAACGTTACATGAAATAACATACTTACCAGCTCGAGGACTGTTGGTTTCGTGTCTTGTTGACATGTTCCCTCGACCAATTCAAGACGCTGAAAACCCCGTGTCTTGTTGACATGTTCCCTCGACCAATTCAAGACGCTAAAAACCCCGTGTCTTGTTATGGGAGGAGTTTATGTGGCGAATCGCTCTTCACACAAACTCTGCAACTCTGGGAAATTGAGTTTTATAGGCTACTCAGCGAAAGAGAAAGTGGTAATATTGCGGTTTGGGTTTGATTGCCTGTCAGCAGCTATAAATATACAAAATGTCGTGTTGTATGTGTTGATTAGTCTAACAAAGAAAACAGCGCTTAACAAGTTTGTTTTCTGTGGATCTCAAAAATATACAAAACAAATATACCATGGTAACCCGCCATCCCGCCAAAATACCAGGTAACGTTACTACGATCACTACTTTAAAACTAAAAAGCTACTTTATTTTAATATCTGGATCGTTAAAGAAAGAAAATAAATAAATACATTTTTCTATATTATTATTATTATTAAATAGGACGTTTTATTTTAAAGTATATTTGAGCCATTTTCTAAATAAATAAAAATGGTTTTATAACGCGTTTAAATACATTTTTGATGACAGCGGTGGCAAAGTTTGCATTTTTATGGTCTTTTTAACCTATAATGGCAGCCTATAATGCATGGTTTTGAACAGAGTAATTTTAACCAGTTGTCAAAATATATTTGAAATGTATCAACTGATTTGACTGGTGTGAGCTTGGTTAGATAAATCAATTTAATGCAACCTATTTACGAATTCAACCTATTTTATGAAAAAGTGTTTTCTACCCCTCATTAGTTAAAATGGGGCAGATGTTGGGATGTTAATGTAAGTTGAAGCTTTAATAGGCTATGTCGTATTTAGATTGTATAAAAACTATAGTCACCATGGTAATGTTTGTAAGACAAAATAATAACAAACATTTAACAGGCACATCATAAACCTTGTTTATTTGTCGTGCAATGCACATTTACATCCAAAAATACATTCTACAGTCAATAAAATGAAGCTGCACCCAAGCATATTTTACAAGGCAGGATCTCCAAACACATAACGTAGGCCTACCTCAATAATACGCTGTAAAATGACATTATCAAACTGACAATAAATGAAGAAAAAAAAAGTTATAAAATGCCCAAACACTGTGGCTTTTAGTAGTGCTTTGCTTCTGATACAAACTCTGGGTGGATGATGTAGTGTCCAACTTTATATGGTTTCACCACATGGAAACAGCTGTGTCCTTCACTGCAAACCAGAACATCTGGATTTAAAAGGGATAATCTCAGACATTCAGAAACATTAAGAGCCTTGTTTATGCTGAAACACACATTTACAGCTTAGCAGAATGGCGTGATTACATTAAAAGCACTGAATCAAAGCATCAAGTTATAATATGTTTGAAAGACCATAGCTGATCAATCTCTAGTGGCTGTTCATAACTGAAAAGGGATTTGCAATTATTTATCTGTTTTATGTATGTATTAAATAGTTGTATTGTTGTTAGTATGTTATATTGTTTTTTAATAAGCTAAAATAGTTTAAATTAATTGTTTAATAAGAAATGCTTTTTAGCATCAAATCAGCATATCAGAATGATTTCTGAAGGATCAGGAGGCACTTAAGACTGAAGTAATGGCTGCTAAAAATTCAACATTATTATCACAGGAATAAATGAAATTTAAAAAAGGTTTTTAATAGAAACCATTTATTTAAAATTATAATAATATTTCACAATTTTACTGATTATCTGAGTTATAAAAAATAAATGCAGCCTTGGTGAACAAGAGAGGTGTATAATATATTATAATTATAATATAATTGTTTTTTGTTATATTTTTGTTTTTATTTATTTATTTATTTATTGTTTGCTTGTTGTTGTTTTCAAGATTTTGTAATAAAATACCTGCGATCAGTTGTGAATTTTGAGCGTGATCTTCTGTGATGATGGGTAACCTGGTGTTTGAAGGGTTTTAAAGATGGCATGATGTCCATCTGTTGGTTCCAAGCTGATCTGATACGATCTGTGTCTGAATATTTCCTGAGTACAAACAAGAAATGATCCTAAAAACTATATGAATTTGAGAACAAAATCACAGCATGATGGCTTCATAAACTGATAGTGTAGTAGTCAGAAAAAATACAGTAGGAATGTTCAGGTATTCACTGCGTTTGAAGACATTAATGAAAACAAACTGCAATACTGGATATTTATCTTGTTCATTCAGACACAAAACATAAAATAATGTCATAAAATAATATTTAGGTTAAACTAAAACGAATTATGCAATGCCCATGCATCAAGTAGAACTGGAAAAGCATTACCCTTGTGTGTTTGTGACTGTTGCATGAGCAAAGTTGGTTTGTTGCGGTTTGAGAAGCCAGGCAGCAGGTGGCAGTGTACAAACTGCAGACCAGGCCTCAGGTGGTTTGGAGTCTTTTTGTGATGAGCTCTGCATCAACTGTCCATGTGCTGTTTGTACGTCTTAAGGTCAATACAGTGCAAAAAGAAAGAAAACATTGATACGTTGTAGATATTTTTGTCCCAGTATATACAAGTATATTTTATAGGGGAGCTGGTGCTGAACACTCAAATGTTTGCAACTACACTAATTTGATCAACGACAGTGATTGTTTTGACTCAACCTCAGCTGTAGTGACACAGATTGTATTGATACCTGGATACTGGACTGATATGTGTCTGACTGGAGGTAGAAAAGAGGTAGATGGAGTAGTTGTCTGAAAGTATTTCCGTGAGCCATATCCTGTCTGCAGTGTTCTTGGCATCAGGAAGTCCTGGGTGGCAGAAGGGATTCAGAAAACCAACCCTAAGTGGCACTTAATAGCCTGTAACACTGACCCAGCAGAGGTTAGATTGTTTTGCTAGCACAGTGAGAGTCGATCCCAACCTTGATCCCTGTTCAGTGGTTTGGAAACAGTGTAACCGGAGCTTCCTGTACAAGGCCCCCCCCCAACATGTAGGTTGTTTTGCAGAATCAAGCGGCTACAATGCTCTCCGGGCTGGTGAATTATTAATGTTTTGTCAGGGCAGTTAAATTCAAGTTCATTGAAAAATGTTGCCTGTTGTTTACAGTGCTTTTCTTACCGCAATACTGCATTTTAACCCAATTGTTTCACTCGTACAGCTGTGTCATTCACACATTAGCAGCAAAATAATGCTAAGTGAGAGAATGCAAACAAACAAACCCCTCACAAAATGCAAAACAAGTAAATAATGAATGTAACCCACCTTAAAGATTTATATTATACAAAATAAATGCTGTTCTTTTGAACTTTTATTCATCACAATATAAAATACATGTTCAAAATATATTTGTTCACAAAAATATGAAGCACAACTGTTTTCAAAGTGATAATACGAAATCTTTCTTGAGCAGCAAATCAGGATCATGTAACTCTTAAGACTGGAGTTGTGAAACAAGTAAAATGTTTCACAATTTTACTGTTTTTACTGCACTTTTTTACCAAATAAATGCAGCCTTGGCGAGCCAAAGAGACTTTTAAGAAAACTTATCAACCTCAAATCAAGTAAATATATATATTAGTCTAAACTATATTAGTCTAAATATATATATAAATATATATTAGTCTAAACAAATATCACTGAAACCCCTAATGCCAAAAGAGACCCATGTATATATAGAACAAATGTCATTTATAGTGGTCAACATTTGTTGTAGTAGTTCAGGAAGCTCTTACCGGCCGTGGATGAGGATTGTTCCTGCGATATGCAGAGGAAGGTCTGGGCCGGGTAGGTTTGACTCGAGCCGGGTAACTGAATTCCTCTGAGTAGGTGCTGCTGAAGTGTAGCTGAGGACCCATTTCCCTTGTGTACAGTAAGAGTGTGTCTGCAGCTGCTAGACTGATCAGCCCTACCTCACTCCCTCCCTCTCTTCAGCGCCTCTGCTCCTCTTCCTCTCTTCTCTATCTTAATCCCTCATCTTTGCATGGGGTATTTGGATTAATTGACTCAAAAGTGAAAATTCTGCAATTGTTTACTCATCCTCCAGGTTTGTAATGACATAAAGTTGAGTAAAGTATGACAGCATGTTTCCTTCAGCTCTCCTATTTCATCCATTTATCACTCTGCCCTTTTTGGCTGTCATTGACTTTGAGATCAAACAAAAGATTAAAATCACATTTGAAATTGTAGAACACACAAAGCACGTCCTAAGCTATCATATGAGATGTTATTCTGGCCTTCTGGTCCTGTTCTGTATTACACGCTCCACTGAAGAGAGAAAAAGAGAGCTGGCAACTGAATAATCTGCATAGATATCCGTCTGTCACCAGGATTGAGCCACCCAAGGATTCATTCCCCCCTCAGCCAGTGATCAATAATTCAAGCCTTAGATCCTGTGTGTCTTTTGTGGCCCCTGTTCAGCGGGACCTGACTGAGAGTTAAACAGATGAGGTGCTATCTGTTTGTTGTCTGGACAAATGCCAGAATTAGAGCTGGGCAGAATTATTAATATAATTAATTATAATTAATACTGATTATAAGAATAAAAATTAAAATAAATTAATAACATTTTTTAAAAGAAAGAAATTACAGATATTTTTTTTTCTTTTTTATAAGCATTCCACCACTTTGAAGGGAAAAATAAATGACCATATCAGCAAGTAGTAAACTAAATAACGAGAGATAAATGTGACATTTTTATATGTTTATTTAAATTAAAATTTACAGTAAAATAGAAATATTGTAAAATATTATGACAATTTAAAATAACTGTGTTCTGTTTTCAAATATTTTAAAATGTAATTTATTACTGTGATGGCAAAGATGAATATTCAGCATCATTACTCCAGTCTTCAGTGTCACATTATCCTTCAGAAATCATTCTAATATGCTGATTTGTTGCTCACTAAATTTTGAAATGTTGAAAACAGTTGTGCAGTTTAATAATTTTGTGTGAAGCATGATAAATGTCTCGGGTTTGTCTAATGAATAGAAAGTTAAAAAAAAACAGCATTTCTTTGAATTAGAAAACTTTTGTATCATTATAAATCTCTTTATTGTCACTTTAGATCAATTTATTACATCCTTGCTGAATAATATATATACAGTGGGTACGGAAAGTATTCAGACCCCCTTAAATTTTTCACTCTTTGTTATATTGCAGCCATCTGCTAAAATCATTTAAGTTAATTTTTTTTCCTCATTAATGTACACACAGCACCCGTACCCACTGTATATATATATATATATATAAAAAGCCCAGAACTGCTGAAAGCAAGTAAATTTCCCTTTCTCTGTCTATGAATCATGCTACTACAGCCATGAATGTGCAGACATTAAACTCCACAGTAACCATAATATGATACATTAGGGGAATTTGGTAATGTCATTGTAGTAGATACGATATTGTGGATGACAGTAATGAATGACTAATCCTGTGTGAATGAAAGGAGTTCTTCATTCATAAGAGATAATCAAGAGAGTCATTTAACTGAGCATTTGGCACTTATCCACAGTCACTGTCAGCCACACAAAATATCCTCCGTAGCTCTGCCAACACAAGTAAATCAAATATGCCATCAGTGACCTATTATGCACTGGACAGCTTTGAGGTTACTCAGATAGTTCCACAGGGAAAAACGTTCCATACATACTTAATGACAGGAAATGGGTCTGAAGGGCGGTTTCTGTCAAGTTCTACTTTTTTAATAATCACTCACATAGAGAAATAACCTATGGGTGCTGTCAAAATGAGAGTCCAAACAACTGATAAAAAACATCACAATAATCCACAAGTACTCTACATGACTGCAGTCCATCAATTAACATCTTGTGAAGTGAAAAAATGTGAATTTGTAAGAAACAAATTCCTCAAGGTGTTTTAACTGCTTCTAAACAGTGCTTGATCTGTGCATATTCCTCTCCTGATTGAGACGAGATGCCTTTTTCACTGGAGAAAGCACTATTATGAATACAGAACTCGTATTTTAGCCGGAAGCAATGATTTGAAGTTAATGATCGATCTGTTTATAACAAACACACAGCTTTCTGCTTCACAAGACATTAACTGACGAACTGGAGTTGTGTGGATTACATGTGGATTATTGTGATGTTTTTATCAGCTGTTTGAACTCTCATTCTGACGGCACCCATTCACGGCAGTGGATCCAATGAGCAAGTGATGTAATGTTAAACTTCTCCAAATCTGTTCCAATGAAAAAACAAAGAGATTTACATATTGGTAACTTGAGGGTAACTTTTCATTTTTGGGTGAACCATTGCTTTAACAAAATTTTTATATATTTATCTTTGAAACATTATCAACTGTTCATACACTTTTCTTTCATATAGGTGTTCAGTGACTATAATTCCACTACATATAGGTGACTCAGTGCCACATTGAACAGGCCACAGATCTGTTCACTCTTACTTGGCATCAGGTTCTTTTTTTAAGTGACTCATAACTTATCCATGACATCCGTTCTATTCCCAACATATCAAATTTACATGGGTAATCATCTCATTTTGTTTCTTTCCCTTCAGTGACCAAAGTGTAAACATACAGTAAAGTTCCAGAAGGATTTTTGATTGCAGAATGAGCAAAGTCACCAATTCTAATAGAGAGAGATGATATTTAATTAAAAAAATGAATCAAACAGAAACAGAAGAGACTGCAAGGGAATTATAAAACACAAAGTAGCCACTTTAAAATCAAGACATGAATTCCAAAAGTTTTCAGTCCTCACAGGCATTAAATTGCCCGTGTTGTAGATGTCTCTGTGCAATGGTTCTCTGATGTGTCTGCTTTACTCCAGTTTATTGGTGCTTGGCTTTCACAGTTGCTTTCAGTTTAGTGTAGACATTGCAAAAGTTCTGCAAACAAAAAGAAATTATTTAAACAAATTAACCAAACCACACATTAAAGAAATATGAGATTACAGATTCAGATTACTGATAGACTTTCAATTCCAACCTATGCAGGTATAATTAGCATACTGACCCCAGCACTCTAATTAGTTTGGTATACATTACCCACAGCTCACCTGGATTGCATAATAAACTACTCCAAGGTATCCAGCTATACAGCCACCCAAAAACAGGTCAAAGGCGGCAGGCTTCACCCTAAAAAAGTGAATTATAAAATAATAAAAAAAATACAAATCACTATAACTAAAAAAAAGACTATTTCCTAGAACAAAATTGACACTAGAATTTCATAATAACTCTTTCTAAAATAAAATAAAATGAATAAATTTTAGTTTGAGTTCTTAATACATGGTTTATTATTAAAACTAAACGAACTAAACTAAACTAAAATAAAAAACGAATATACAAAGTTAATACACTGAATGTAGAAACTGGAAAATACAAAAACTAAAGTAACCAAAGGAAAGTAGAATGAAAAAAAAAACTACAAAAAATAATAGAAAAAAAATATACAAACTATATTAAAACTATAATACCACTGTCTGGATCCAACTAGTACAATAAGGGATTTTAAGTAAACCCTATTTACATGATCTTTTTCTAAGAATATTCTGTTTCGTTTAGAAATGCACCATATTACTAATGTAAAAAAGGGTTGTTAATGCTGTTTCAGGTTGACTTTAAAACCATCTTTGCCTCAAAACAACCAATGATACATCATCATTTGTTGTTTCAATTGATCAAAGAATCTGATTTAAGGATCCCTATAAAAGTCAGACAAAACAGGCTTAAAATGTCTGTATCTGTGTGTGTGAGTTTGTAGTTTTGCTGTTTTCAGAAAGTGTGTCGGTAAACGTTGTTTGAACTTTTGCTACAGGCAAGGTAAAAAGAAAAAATGAATTCTGGCTCTGTGCATATTTGAAATCTGCATCTGTAAACCTACAGAAGTCTTTTGAAGTCTTGCTTCAGGCCACTGATGAGGTGAAACATTTTGGCCGTGTCTGTGTGTGCGTACCTTCGGTCCGGGTGGAACGTGTGTCTATGGACCAGAACTCTTGCTCCAGGCTGCTAAACAAGAGCTTGTGTTCTGGTTCTCTGTCCATCAGCTGAACAGCTCGTGGAACAGACGTTATCATGGTCATCAATGCAGACAAACGGCTGTCTTGAATATCCTACATAGCACATAAGGGTGCACAGTTTTAGGTTTCCTTCATGAACTTAATGAGATTCAAAAGTTTGGGTGAGTTCTTTCTTTCTTTCTTTCATTCTATAGCCTGATAAAATGCACAACGGAGCAGAAAAAAATTTATTACCAAACTGCCCTTGAAAACCTGCATATCCTTAGCAGAGCCCTACAGAAAACAAATAGTATATATTAATGAAAAGTGGAAACACTGTGTGTGCTTTCAAGGATAACGCGAATGTTTAAATTTGGCGAGACACTCCAAATGTTTGCCTCACCTTGTCTGAAAGATTGTACATGAATCTTGCCAAGGACTCAGCAACAACAACGGCGTTCCGCTTGAGTTTCCTGATGTCCACCTGTGCCCTGAATATACAGAAATAACAGTGAGATGAGAAACGGTGCATCTATCATTTAAAATGTATTCTGAAATGTCTACTATAACAGAGCTGCATTGGATAGAAAACTTAATTCACACTTGGAATTAAAGATGATTTAAAGGTCTGGAAGGAGATTTGTTATGGAGTGGCACTGGAAAATGTACATATAATCTGACAGATATCACTAAATTAGTTTAAAAAAAAAGTGACTGCAGACCACACTCTGAATCTTTGTTCAGCCAATCTGAAGACTTTGAGGCTCTTTCCATCTGTCAAACATTTTACACATTCAAATGGCAGCCAATATATGTGAAGCAGGATGCTAAGTGGTAGTTCCAGCAGGTTATTCAAGTTTACACCATATTCAGCTTCAAGCAGATTTCAGTTGTTAATTTGTAGTGTGAGAATGCTATTTTTATATCTTGTTGGGATGGAGTGGCTAATTCATTGGCTATGTCTGGACGAAGTTCCAGAAAGGAATTTTCTAAACGTTTGAAAGATTTTGGTAGGTTTTTCTCACATGGTATCCAGGATAGATCCTCTTTGCTCTGATTTAGGGTTCTCAATGTGCGACAGAGTGAATCCTGGGATACGTTTCATTCCGTAGCGCTCGTGCTGCGAAGCCACGGTGGTCTCCTGCAGGTTGATCTTCTTATGGACAGTTCCGAATCTCACCCAGGGGAACCTGGCAGAGATGATCTGAAAAGACAGAAAGGAAAATATGTACAAGAGGGTCAACTGGCAATCAACATTTAAGTTCAAAACAGTATTTTCATAGAACATCGATTGAATCCAACTCCGCAATTCAACCTAACTTGCTCCAGCTGCTGAATGAAGCTGTACTGAGGCGTTCCAGGCTTAAGCGGTTGCAAGACATGCAGGAAAATCTCGTCTCCAGTGCCAAGAGAGTCCAGACATAGAACGAACGCCACGTTGTCATGCAAAAGGCTGGATTCTGCAAAGAGAGATCCAGACTTCAAACTTTAGTGTTTTTATTGAATGAGGGCTCATAATTCTTACAATCTTAAAAATAAAGATTCCATAAGGGGGTTCTCACAGTGATGTGATAGAAGAACCATTTTTGGTGCCCAAAGAACCTTTCAGTTAACAGTTCTTAAAAGAAACATTTTTTCTTAGTGTGAAGAACATTTTTAAAATCTAAAGAAGCTTTTGTTGAATGCAAAGGTTCCATTGATGTTAATGGTTCTTTATGGTTCTTATGGAACAATAGATGCCAATAAAAAAAACTTTATTTTTAAGTGTGTATCTATGACCGAATTTAATATTTAGACAATGTTTTGACTGGGGAGTAAAATATGTCTCAAGAATACATTTTGGAGATAATTTACGCACCTGCCTGGTCCATATTTTCCTCCAGCCAACGCTTGGTGCCCAGGAAGTTATATTTACCACCACCAGTCAGGGAGAATAAAAGGTGGTATCTAAAAGATGTTGATGAAAAATAATGCAAAAAGAAAAAGAATCCAAAAGTAAATTCTTATGATGAATATGTATCAGTTAATACAAGCTATTGGGTTCGTGTTGCCAGTTTTTCAATTATTTTCCCAACACAAACATTTTAGTTTATTAAATACAGAAAGAACTAATGGAGCCTGGCTTCGTGAGTCGCTGTAGAGGTGATGAAAGAGTCGAACCAGCTCGAGGAGAACGGTGATGCCACTGCCATTAGAGTCTGCACCATACGCCAGCCACTAGACACACATACACAGATCACTCACACATACAGTCTCATAATATACACTAAAATGGAAAAAAAAAACTCTCATTTGATAAATAAAATATCCAAAGTATCCCTATTCTTTTCGGCAAAGAAGAGATAGCTCAAGTATCAGCGATATGCTAATCATACAGCCAATTACATTGCTTTCACTTTATGAATGGATGTGATCTGCCAGGTGGTGACTGTAAAACTCATCATTACCAGTGGGATATTTTACCATCTGAACCCGTAAAATGCAGTGGTAATAAAATGCTTTGCTGTGATTACAAGATTACCACAGCATCATTACAGGTACTTAAATCAAAGGTTCTGGACTTCAAGCATAAATTCAATTACGCATGGGAATCATACGGAATTCAATGATCCAGATTCCAATTTTTTCAAAAAATTCTCAAAAAGAGTCAAATGAGTTACTGAATCTGTTGGACTAGACTGGCCGTGCTGCATGAATATGATTAAATAAAAATAAATAAATAAATAAAAAAGAACCGGCTCATAAAAGTCATTTGTTTAGGAATTTGGACTGGTTGTGCTGCGTGTTTTTGATTCAATAAAATGCGTCATGAGAGTCATTCATTCTGGTATAACACTGTAAGTTTCTCGCTGAATAAAGCTTTGGCAGTTCTGAATTACAACCAGTTGTCAATTCCCAACACTACATTCAATTCTGTTTTCATTGGTGGGGCTTTGAGAGGCTGGCTATATGAATATGTTCATTTCTGACCAAGGTGTTTGAAAAGGTCAGTTCCCACAGCACGTGAACCATGCCAATTGCAACATACATTAATCATTCTGAATCATGTTTGAAGGGAGTGTGATGTATTATGTGACCAACAATGATTAAGCATTTATTAATATATATACTGAAAAAAAGGTTCCTTCAATCTAGTCGATCTCCCTCTGTCTGTCTGTCTGTCTGTGTGTGTGTGTGTATG